CCAGTATATGATACCTGTGTTTGTCCCTGTGCTCTGGGGTCCAGGTGAATTCTCCATACTTGGAAGAACATCTGATGCATATGATCAAGCAGGACCAGAGTAAAGTTCATAATATGGACCTCCTGTGGCGCTACTACGAGAAGAATCGTAACTTTGGCAAAGCTGCCCACGTACTGGCCCGCCTTGCCGACATGCACAGGTTCGGACACAGCAGCACAATGCCATGGAAAATTGGCCACCTCCAACACTGACTCCTTCAGCAAGTGTATACGTTATATTCAACTTATTAAAAAACAATTTAGAAAAAGTACCTTGATGTTTGCACTCTGATCATGTAGCACGGAGATCTCACTGAAGCAGCGTTTGGAGTACATCGCTCGAGCCATCCTGTCTGCGAAGAGTTCATCCTCTATCTCAGCTCAGGCATCTGACGGAGAGTTCCTCCATGAGCTGGAGGAGAAGATGGAGGTAACCCTGACGTTGTAACGCTTACAGTGAAAGAAATCCTAGCCTGAAATTCAGCACATTCTGCTCACGCTCTGTCTACTTCCTGTCTGCCATAGCTTGTGCGTATCCAAGTACAGATACAGGAAACCTTGATCAGACAGTACTCCCATCATCCCTCTGTGAAAAATGTCATCTCTCAGTTGGACTCGGAGCTAATGGACATCACAAAGGTACTGTGCAACTGTGGAACAGAGAAGAGTGTTTTTAGGAGTATTTTAACACGCTAGCCCGAATTTAAAGGTGATGGATAAAGAGTTTTGTTTTTACAGTGAATAGAAACTTGTTTGTGGAACTGTTTTTGTTGCATAGCTCTATGGAGAGTTTGCCGATCATTTCAAATTGTCTGAATGCAAACTGGCCATCATTCACTGCGCTGGACACTCTGACCCGATCCTGGTGCACTCGCTGTGGCAGGAGATTTTGGAGAAAGGTGAGCGAAATGTCAACATCCTGCAAAAATGCAACCTGGGACCCCACCCCACACACACACACACACACACACACACACACACACACACACACACCCTTTCTGCTTTATATTTTTATTTATGTATTTTTTTGCATGCTTTATATCTCACTTATGCCTCTTCTCTCTTTCAGAATTGGAAGATACTGTGGCCATGAGTCCAGTAGATAGAATGAGGTCTCTTAATCTGAAGCTGGTATCGCTGGGAAAGATTTATGCTGGAACACCGAGATATTTCCCTTTGGGTAAGCTGTAATTACATTGAGTTTTAGTCTGATTAAAATTTTCCAGCTTGCACTTTAAAATTTTGTCAACAGTAATATAATTGGAGTTCCCTTTAGCATCATTTATGTCAGCATGTCTCTGGTGTGCAGGTCTGTAGGGTCATGTTGGTGATTAAGGCAATTGCTTAATTATCCTCCTTTTTATAACCAGCATGTTCAAGCTTGTCATGCCTATGGAGGCATTTATTATTTTATATAAATTATCGGTACTTGCATGCATGCACATAATCAATTACGTACCCGGGAGTGAACATATTGCTGAGTATGCGATGCTAAGGAGCTGATGTGTCCTGTGATTGCAGAGTTTCTAGTAAAGTTCCTGGAGCAGGAGGTTTGCCGGCTCAACTGGGATGTGGGATTCGTTACATCCACTATGCAGGAGATTGGAGTGCAGTTGCCACGTCTGTTGGAAGTCTATGACCAGCTCTTCAAAACTCGGGTACATGTATCACCCTGTGACTTTTTAAGCTGAACTTTCTTAAGTCTGTTCAGTAATGATCCATCTATCTCAATGAATCCAAAAACCAACCCTTTGTTTGTTTGTTTCTGAATTTTTCATAGGATCCTTGCTGGCAACGTCTGAGGAAACCGCTTCATTTAGTGGAGTGTATCCATGTACTTCTCTCAGGATATGTAGAAGACCCCAGCAGGGTACCAACTTATGACAGGTAATTACGGTCTGTTCAGCTCCTGGCCTGTAGTGGCTGCTGTAGTGTTCACAGCATTAACCTAAGGTCCCCAGTGAGCATTACTATCACAACTGTTGCCATCAGTCAGTGTGTAAGCTGATTATTTTATTTCTTTTAGAGACGATACACATTCATCAACATTACTGTACATGTGCCAGTGTTGGTTAAATCTCTGAACTTTTGTCCCCTGGACAGATGTTGAAAGGAAAAAAAGAACACTGTTTAAAGCCATTTAAAAGAACAGAGCAAAAAAGTCCATGAAAGTGAACCATATACAATAAAAACCACTGATATTAAATAGTACTGGAATAGGGAGTTTAAGTTTGCAGAGGCAGTTAAAACACAATCACTTAATCTCTCTTGTACTACAGATGAACCTGTGAAACTTTAACCGAGATTACATGCAAAGAAGTCATAAGAGGCATGCTTTTGTTTACTCATTGGTGGTGAAGATCAGAACTGAGAACCTCTCAGGCCCAGATTATTCTCCATTTTGGACAAGGACAGCTGCAGATCCGATGCACGAGCAGGCATTCCTGTAGTCTTCCTTCTGGTAGTCTGCTGGCTATGCACATGTGTAGTTGGTACGTTAAAATATAAATTCTCCAGGGACGAGTCTGGCGAGACATTTACACCGGAAAGTATGATCTTGGTTTATTTTCAAGACTTTAGAAATAATCTTAAGCTAAATTTTAAATGCTGTCAGCACAGGAAGAAAGTGCTTAAAAAGCGTAACAGAGAGTAATGACGCTGAACTTTTTTTTTTCTTTCAGTAAGCGACTACATTTTCTAATTTTACACCAAAAATAGAAAATGTATTAAATGTTCCATAAAAGGAGCAAAATGATCACGCTTTAAATACAGGTCTTATCTTGATCACACTAGTGTGTTTTGGTCCCCCCCCCCCTTCAGTGTGATGCATTTTTGCTGTTTCTAAGCAACAGATCATGCCCATCATGCCAGCTCCCAGCAGGCAGTCAGATACCGTGGACAAACATGTAAAACCTCAACTCGTTTGGCCACGTGTGATGTTTAGTTTGCACTTTGATCATTTCTCTGTGGTTTATTCAGGTCAGAGCTCACTAAGACTATATGAAGCATCCCATTTACAAACATTGTAAAGTTGTTTTTGTTTTGTTTTTTGCAGACGTCGCTTCACTAACGTGTGTCTTGACAACATCTGCGGTTACCTCGTGGAGCTGCAGTCCCTGAGCCCAAACTCTGTCCTTCAACAAACCATCGGCAACTTCAAGTCCCTGCAGGCAAAGCTGGAGAAACTCCACTGATGTAACTGTGGTCAAGAGTCGGGTGACTTGTGGGTGTTGCCCTGTTGGCCTTAAGTGAAAACTGCTGATTTAAAGTGTGTTTACATTGTCAGCAAAGGACAATATGATGATGACGTTTGTATTACAAAGTAGAGTTTGGCTCTTTTTTCCCCCTCCAGTTCGTTTTGCAGCTTGGAGAGACAGGTTTTTATAACTTATTTGATACATTTTGTTAGTTTAAACATTATGCAGAAATACAACCTTGGAAAGAATGACTGTTATTTGCATTGTGTGCAAATACCTGTCATATATCTAAAGATGAGAAGACACTTTTTTCATCACAAATATGAAATCCCTTTAAATTTTACAGCTTATTGGTTATAGTGGAAATGCAGTTATGTGATGGTTGATTTTTCTGGTAAAATGTGCCCAACTGAAGCCATTTCTTCACAGGGGAGTGATTTTGATTGTTCTATTGCCTGTCTGCAAACAGTTTAGTTTTATATGTTGTAATTATGTACATAACTTGGCCATAATGCCGTCTTTTCTGCCACAAGTCATTTACACATTTCATTTTATTATTTACAAGGAATGTTTTGTCTGCTTGGGCGTTAGATTTAACGGTGCCATTGTGTGTGAGTGCTTTTTTTGTGATTGTTTTGAAAGGAGAACGATTTTTTAACTCTGCAAACTTTGGCCCACTTGGAAGAAAAATAAATAAAACTCATTTTTAATGAAATAAAACAGCACTGGAACAGGATGTTTTCAAAACACTACGCAGAAACTAGGTGTTGTCTGCGAACTAGACACACACGTGTTCTTGGTTGAGATATATCTGTGTGAAACTACAAATGATCAGCAGAAAGGGGCATTTAATTGCTTTGGGTGGATGTGACACTGTTTACATAATTATCTTTAATTGAATCCCTCACTCATGCTTTCTTAGAAACATCAGGCCTACAAGGCAGTAATTGCTAAATTACAATTAGCTGTGTGTTGGAGTACACAATTGTTTTTTAATTCTTAGCCTCATGAGAAATAAACAGATTTTGACCTGATGTTGGGTTTATTTTTGTTGGTATACTTGCACACGCTCCAGTATAGTAAGCCATGCATAATGTGTCTGAAGGTTTGCATCTGTTTTCCTAATGCTTGAATGTTTTTGTAGAAACCTAAGCCAGAACAAATACAGGGTTTTCCTGGAGTATGTGTAAACATTTTCCATTTGATTGTTTTAGACACATGATTGTCAGATATGTGTTTTTATAGCTGAAACGTAGCAAACTGAACATATGGCAAACTGTTGGTACAAGCAAAAAGCCATCTTTTATTTGTGATGATGTAATCTCAGATACAATAAAGATGACAGTACCTTCTTTTAAGCGTACAACCAGTCACAGTGAAACTATTCACACTCTGTCACTCTGAAATTACCAGAGAGCTTGTTCTAAGTAGGTGAGGGCCACTTGTCATATTGAATTTTCTGCTCTTTAAATGATAGTCAGGAGGTCTTGAAGATATCGTGCTTCTCTCAGAGGTTTAGAGGCAACTGTGGGCATTGCAAAGCCTTCAAAATATTTGCTTAAAATAGGTCTGAGTTCTGACTTCTCTGTCCTCTTTGTAAAACAGTGTGCTGACCAATTTGGATCTAGCCTTTTATAGTGCAGGAGAAATAAAATGTATAAATAAATGCAGATGAATAAACAGTGAAGCAGTTTGATATAATGTGTTGGACAGCAGAGTAAAAAGAGAGTACACTGAGGCTCAAGAGAAAGAGCTGGGTGTCTTTTTATCTTTTGGATGAGCAAGTAAGTTTTTTCACTCTGTGCAGGAAGATGTAGGGAATGATGCACGTGTAGGAGGCTGCGATGTAGCTGGACACCTCCACTACTATTGATGAAGTGTGGATGTTGTTAGTAATGTGCAGAAGCAAATGAGTCAGCCAGCATACCAGCACCACGCTGGCTACAGCCACCACGCTCTTGGCCGCCCTCACCTGAGTGTTTGAGTTCGGATGGGGTTTAGATGGTATCTGAGAGGGCCTCGAGAGATTTGGCTGAGCTCCAACGCTGCAGTTCTGGGGAGCATTGCGGAGACTATGGCCCGATGGCTGTCGGTTTGGAGAGGAAGGAGCAGGCACACCTGTATAAATGTGGTTTGTAGATGTAGAATCTCTGAGATCTTTTGAGGTGGTTGGACCAGAGATGCTGACTGATGCCTTGTTGCGTTTGCTCTCAGATCTCTTTCGTTCCTCTTTAACCTCTTTGGTTTGATCAGAGTTATGACTCTTTATACGTTGGTGGTTTTGAAGCAGAGTGATGACAATCTGGGCACTGGCGAATACAATCCCAGCCATAGGTAAAGCGTTAGCCAGGGTTAAATAAATTGCTTCATATATTTGCCTAGCATTTGGATCAGGGAAGATCTCTATGCAGTCTTCGTGGCTGTCATTTGCCACCTCCAGTGTGAAAAAGAAGAAGTGTGGGACGCTGAAGACCACAGCCACCGTCCAGCTCCCAGCAAGCAGACAGCCCACGAGACACAGGCTGTCCATCTGCACCGGTGCGCCGCCTCGTTTCAGGGAGCCGACCAGCTTCTGGTGCCAGAAAACGCTGATGAAGAAGGTTGTGAAGATGCTGCTGGTTTCAGAGAGGCCAGCGCAGAAGCAAAACACTCCACAGTAGGTCTTCCCCAGGAACCATCGCCCAGCAAAATCTGCCATGGTGTCAGGCAGGTCCACCAGGTAGTTGGTGATGAGGTTGGAGATGGCCAGATTGATGAAAAGGACCTCGTTTGTGCGGATGCTGGATTTGTGCCTGGGCAGGGAGCATATAGCCAGCCAGTTGTTTCCCAGGATCCCTGCAATAAACATGAGTGCTCTGATGATGGCTTCAATCAACTCTTCCATTGTTTCACAAGATCAGGCAACAACTTGTCAGCCTTTAGATCAGCGTGGGAGCTTCACAACCTTTATATAATCTGAGGAGGATGCTGTTAGCTTTAGACATTTATAGAGGAGGGGAGAAATGGCCCAACCCCATGGAGCTTTCATTGTGCAGTCCCACTGAGATGGACGTGTGTGTTTCTCATGTCATGCCTTCCCAGGAAACTTCCCCTGGTAGATTATAGAAACTGCCATCTGAGTAAAACACAGAAAATGGTAAATCCAAAGCCAAATCTGAATGTTCAGTGAACAAACAGTGAGATTAAAGGGCCATCAGCCAAAGCTGTGAGTCCTCTGATAATTGACATGTATGGAGACAAATAACAGAAACACTCAGTCATCCCCGGGCACCAAATGCATAATTTCCCAACAATCCAATTAAAGCTTGTTCAAAGACATGTGAATGGAGCTCTGACCGAACGAATTCCTGCCAGCAGTTGAGAGTTTATCGGCACTAATAATTGGTTACAAAGCTAAAATAATACAGTGTGCACGATTTTGAAAATTGCCCTTCCACATACTCATTATGTGGAAGGGCACTTTTGAGCATGTGGTCCTTTAAACAACTTTTTATCGTAGATATAAGGACTAAATGCTGTTTTTTTTCACTTTGCAAAACAACACAAAATGATTGCCACTTTAACGTAATAAATCTGTAAAAGGACACAGGGCACAATTTATTTCTGATTATTGCGATTTCCGGGACCCCCTCCCTCACGCCCTCTCCTGCCTAGTGGAAACACCCCTGAAAAGCTTTCAAGACAAGGCAAATAATTTTCCACAGCCTCTTAAGTGAAAATGAATGAATTTCTTAGGAACCACGCACCAGTAAATAACTTATCACTGCAAACCCTTCATCTTATTTCAGTGGTGTTATTAAGCACTGGTATGAGCAGCAGTGGTCATGTGCAACAATGGTGGGAGAACTGGAGGAAAAGAAGTAGTTCATGAGATCGCAGCAGGGGGTCTCAGTCGGCCAAGTGTAGTAGTGCTTCACGTCATTGATGAGTAAAAGCACCACCTTTGGGACAGACGAGAGGCGGCATCTGTGCGCTGCTGGCGGCCGGGACAGACCAACCGGGACGCAGGAGTGAGGAGCGGCTCTGCGGGCTTTTGTTTGTATTTTTTTTTTTTTGAGCTTTCGGGCTTTTTTTCTTCTTCCTCACCCCTTGACTATGATTGTCGTTTCTCGGCGTTTTGCGATTTATGAAGGGCTTTGCAAACAAACGAGCAGGGACTTTTGCGGTGTATTCGCCGTGCGTTTCGTCGCTATGAGACACTGATGAGCGTGGAGAGGACAGGATGCCCGCCAGCGGCGCCGACTCGCTGAAACCCAGCGCCTTCATCCCGGTGTGCACGGCCGCCTGCCTCCTGGTCGGCTCTTCCTCCCTGTTCTTCGTCTTCACGTAAGTACGAAAGAGTCACGGGAAACTGGTGTTTTACTGCACGGATCATTCAGCTGAGCCATGCATTCAGACACCTGTCATCCACAGCTACTAAATATCAAATAGATCTGTTTAAGCGTTAGAAAAATATCACACATATCACCAGTGTCCTCTCTGGCACAGCTAAAGATGATTAAACTGAATGCAATTTACTCCACTTTTATTCTCCCTTTTTAAAATTAACATTTTATTTTGAAAATCCAAGAAGCTGTTAAAAAAAGAGCAAAATTTCCTCTCCTTTTCACTGTCTTCACTCTGCTGGCAGACCCACTAACATCTGACCTGGTTAGCTGGCAGTTTGGACTTGGGTCTGGGTGCCTGCCCGGTGCACCCTAAGGACCCAAGTGTGAGCACAGTTGCTTTACGGGATAAGCCACCCACAATCAGCATGTCTCAGTGTGTCACCGTGACCCATATGTGTCATAAATTTAGCTAAAGGAAATCAAAAGAGGCTACTCATCTTGCAAAAGCCCTGAAAATTCACTGCAAGGTTTCTCGCAATATGTGACAAACTAAAGAAAATATAGTTTTAAATATGCAATAGAGATGTTAGAGATGATGTTTCAGTCATACAGGCTTTGACCTATTTGTGAGGAAATTGAGGTTATGTCCAAGACTGAAAAGACTCCACCCAAGCCAAATTTGAATATAATATCCTATAATACCCTGAGAATCCAATTTAAACGATGACTATAAATTTGTGTAATTTGTCCAAACATTTCAAAGCTACACAGAGAACTACAAAGTAATACTAATGCACTAAATGATAAAGCTTTTCCATATTCATCATTGACTTTCTGCAGGCTCCCACATCATAGGCTATATGTCAACCTTCTGACCCCTCAATCTCTGTAGCCATATCTGCCCTAGTTTTTCTCTCTATTCTCAGGCTGTGCACCGTTTCCACTGGAATCTGACACCAGATTGGGGGTATGGGATTAGATTCCTCTGGTTAATGTCATGTCATCCCCCATCTGGGAAAACCAAGTCTGCAATCTTTGAGTTCACAATAGGTTATTTGGCGAATAAGAGTCCGAATAAGTGGAAATGTTTACTGTAAGTGCGAAGGGATAGTTTCGTAATTCCTTTTTCTTTGATAGTTTTCTGCAATATTTTTCCTGTGTAGGTGTTTGAAATGTTTTAAATATCCCTGCTTTAGAAGAATGTGAAAATTAAATTCTTGCTCTCCTGTTTAAAACTATGCACCTTTAATCTGGTTAATCTGCAGAGATGTAGCTGTAGAAATCCGTGTGGCTGGATCAGCCACAACATTAAAACCATCTGCCTAATATTTTCGGTTCTTCCTGTACTTCTGAAGGAGATCTAATTATTTAGGGTATGAATAAGTGACCTTTAGGGGTGTCCTGTAGTGCTGGCACCAGAACATTGACAGCTGAACCTTTGGGTCATGTGTGTTGAGGAGTGGGGTCTCTGGTTTGCTTTGGTACACCTTGTGGATGGTCAGTTGGATGGGATCTGGGATTGTTGGAGGTGGAGGAGACTGGACTCTGCTCTTGAGTAATTTTTGAGATTTGTCTATACACATACATAGACACAGCTGCCATTAGGCCACCCACTGGTTTGTGAAGTCCAGCTTTTAAGCCTCAAGCCGAGCATTTTGGCTTTGGTGTGTTAGCTCAGATCTAACTTAAAAAACAAGGGGCATACAGTGGCACCATGTCAGCCACAAGTTAGGCGCTTTTTAAAGCAGCGGTCCCCAACCTTTTTTGCGCCACGGAGCGGTTTAATGTCCGAAAAAATTTTCACGGACTGGTGATTAAGTTGTCTCGGATAAATAGAACTAAATAAAATGATACGACCAAGACAAACACTGTGGTATTTTGTAAATATAATAATAAATGCGAATTCACTGTGTAATTGTGTAACTTTATTAGCAGCGTCCTCCTGAAATGCGCCAACAACATTGAGAGTAACATCTTCCTCTCTGCCCCTTATTGCTCTCTGGTCGCTATGGTAACGCGTAAACATTTCTTTCAAAATAAGACACAAAACTACAACACGGGAAAAGACCGAGTTAACCATAAAACCCCCCGACAACCATAAATTTCAGCCTCAACTCTCCCATCTGGGGGTGAGGGGAGGAAAACAGGACAAAAGACACACTGTGGAAGAGAGTCAGAGATTAATAATAACTAATGATTAAATGCAAAGTTTTTTATTAACACACACACAGTGAAAAGAGGTGAGTGAAGAAGAAACATTCAGTGCATCATGGGAAGTGGGAAATGCATTGGCTTCACTTTTCACACACGGAAGCCATGTCCTTCTTTTATATACAGTCTATGGTCACATTGTACAGCTGTGTGAGGTTGGTGCTGTTGGAGCATCATTCCCATTGGTGGGTGGGGTGCAACAGTGTTTAAGTGGGTGCTGGATATCAAAGTAAAATCAACTGTAATGCTCAGTGCTTTTTGATGCTGGGACTGATCATTGTCTCTGTATTGCATTTTTATTATGGAGTGTTTTAATGTGGAATGATTTCCTTTATTCAGAAGTTTTTAAATGTTAGAATACAGAGATGTTACAAACGGGGAAAACTCTTCAGGCCTGAGACGTATAGAGACATAGAGCTCATAGGCCAGAAACTCTTGAGCATCCCTGCAGACTATCTATATCCTATGAGAGAAAAAAGAAGTCGATGAACTCCTGACATGATAGATTGAAAAGAGACTGCTTAATTGGGACTGCAATGCCAAACCAGCAAAACTAGGACACTGAAAGTGATTGAAAGTGAGTGCAAGTCAGCTGAAGCGACCTTATAACATACACTTTTAATTAATTATCACATTTCTGCAGAACAGAGACATATTCTGACCACAGGACTTCTGAATCCCACAGACTGTATCCCAATCTTTAGATAAACAACAAAACAATATGTCTGTCTTACCGACCAACAGTATAACATTTTGTTATTATTTGTGCAATTTAATGTAAGTGTCTAAAATGCTCTTCTAGCTGTGCAGTTGTACATACTGCATGCAGCAGACTTAAAGGTCACTCACAACTGCCTTAAGCAGAAACATCTTCTTTGAGGAATAAACAGCAGACACTGAGTTTTGTGGACTGCCGGTTAAATAGCTTGTTTATCATCTTGTATTTTTGCCTCGAAAAGCAGAGATGGACAGGTGCTGCACTCTGTTCAGCCCGTCCCCTGCAACACTGTCATCTGCCATAACATCATCGTTTAGTTCCTGTGAATCATGGAAACACACAATAGTTAGAGAATACCAGCCAGGACGTCCTTGCACCCTTGAAGTTATGTCCTTTGTGTGCGCTCACGTGCACATTCACAGTATCATTGTTCATGTTTTTAAAGTGTTTTTAGCTTTTAAACCAGAGCAAGGTGACATGAAAATTCCTCTCCAGAAATCGCAGTTACCCTGCAGCCACATCTCCTTTCATCTGCTAATATTCATGCAATTATCAGCGTCAGCAGCTCCCTATGAGCATTAGCAGTACGAGCATGCATACATTCATTTCTGTTTCCAGTCGGGCTTT